AAAAAAAAAAAAAAAAAAAAAAACTCAAGAGCACTATAAAACCCTATTCAGAGTAGCTTTCAGAGTTCGCCAAATCTTTCCTCGAGTCCGGTATTTTTGCTAAGTTTTTCGTTACTGGTCCGAATGAGGCAAAATTGAATATAGATATACCCTAAAGCACATACGTATCAAGCAAAAAGAAAAACCAAGAAAAAGTAAAAATTCAGGAAAATGTGGCAGTTTCGGTGAAAATTTCGCCAAAATTCGCCGAAATTTGGGCCTTCCATTAACTGCTTCTCGTGAAATCTGGATACTTGTTTTCAGCTCATACACTTTTGATCACTTCATGAAGTTTGTAAATTGTTCGCTTCTCGGTTATTGTTGGGGCTTGAACGGAGAGGCCAGGATTCCATCTCCTGTGTCTGCCACCTGCATGTGGTTTGGGATTTATTTTTTGTGTCAGGGTCTGAGTCTGCATACTGGCTCTGGTAGGCCGTAGCGTAGTATAGACTAGTGTAGGTGCCGTAGTCCCATAAACCCTGTGCCCATCTCCCAGGCAGTAGAGTGGCACGAGAAATACTTTTGATATTCATTCAGGAATTTGGTTTGGCTGGTAGTAGCAAGAAGGCTGCCAGCAGTGCGAGACTCCAATGACACTCTGTGCGGTCAGATGATGGTATGCTGGGCATTGTAGTCACAGGTGTCGGGCAAAATGGGGATTGGGCTGTGCGATCAGGTTGGCAAGTGTTGCTGAGAGGCAATCACGGACGTTGTATCAGGCACAGGTGTTGGGCGAAAAGGGAGATGGGGCTGTGCGATCTGGTTGGCAGCTGTAGCTGAGAGGTTGCCTGGAGGCCATTGTAGTCTTTGTATCTGGTAAGTCGTTGGAGGTAATGTGATTGACCGAGACAGTACTGAGGGAGTTTTCAGAGTTCGTTGCATATTGCCTTGTTAATGCTCTCCAAAAGAGAAGGAAGAAGGGTGTCAGCCGTCTTTTGCATGTGTTGCCATGGCTTCTTGCTGCTTGTGCATGGTGGCGACGTCATTAGCAAGCACCTTCCTGTACCTGGCCGCAGATGCCGCCTTCAAGAGAGATCTTGAGATCCTGTCGTCAAAGGTAAAAGCGCCCCGACCCTTATTTTCACGTTTCACCATGGCTTCTTGCTGCTTTTGCAGGGTGGTGAAAGCATTAGCAAGTGCCTTTCACCATGGCTTCTTGCTGCTTTTGCAGGGTGGTGAAAGCATTAGCAAGCGCCTTCCTATGCCTGGCTTCGTAGCTAGGTATACCAGGTGTTTGGCATGTCCAAGTGTTCAGGTAGAAGGAGCTCGTGTGAACATTCCACCCAATCTGCAACTCATTGGGAGTCGTATTCTGTGGTGGAATGTATGGAGTTCACTCATACTAGTTGGCTACCGCTGAGGCAAAAGCAGGCTGATTGTAAGTTCTTGTAACCCCACCCCACCAGGCCCGGTGGGGAAAGTGGGAGGGCAAGGCGTGTGGGATCTGATAGGCCTGGAGGGAAACTGAAAAATGTGCCATGCAAAACAGCAGAAGTGTCAAGAGGAACTGTGTGGCACAAACAAAATCGGTGCAGCACGGGGAAAGAAAATGCCCCGTGTGACTGTATGATGCTCTTGTGCAGTGCCGCACTTGCCAGTGGGGAGAGAGAGAGAGAGAGAGAGAGAGAGAGAGAGAGAGAGTCACATGTCTGCTCAGCTGCCGTCAACACACATGGTCTTCCTATCCTGAAGGCTTGCCACTGACTACTGCTAAAAGGGGTCTCACTGACACTGGCAAGGGATCTAGGATTACAAAATAAAATGTAGGTACACCTCTTGCCGCGCAACAGCAAGTCTACACTTCAGCACAAGTCTCACACCCGAGATGCACACAAACATGATACGAGAACACTTCGGAAAAATTCTCAAATTCGTTCC